CCAGTTTCATTACAAGATTCATTGTCATTGAACAAGCATTTGTCATCTCAAAGTTAGTTCTTTTAATTTTAACTCTTCATTCTAGTTTTCGCTATGTTTTTTAAAGAATTTTCATGCCTGTCGATCCCTGTCTATGGTACGTACGTATTCTTCAGTTTTTCGCCGCTTACGAACAACTTGAACCCAGATTATTAATGATATTTAACACAGTAAGTAAAGGCATTCTGCTTTTCTTATTTGGCTCATTCCGATTGCTTTTTAGATGAAAGATTTGGACTTCTTCATTTATTTCATTTTTATTTTTCTTGCTGCCTATTCAATCAGTTCTTATGCACTAATCACTACTCCATATTAAGTTACCTGGATCCGAAACGAAGATGGTTCGCCGTCTTACATATACAATATCAGCCGGAACGGGACCGATCTTGGGACATGGCATCTCTTATGGAATATCATCGATTGGGGCATGTGGAAGATTTACGGACAAATAGATCTTATTGACTACAAAGCAGCTTCTACATCGAGCGTTACAGGTAAGGCATGTCATATGTGTGTTTATAGTATTTGAAATATCTCCAAATAGTTGATACTGATGCATATGGAAATATGGCATTTGTGCTGACAATCATCTTTGTCTGTGTCGCCAATGTACTTCTACTCAACGTACTGGTGGCTCTTTCTAAGTAAGCGCTTGATGTTCAACAAAACATATTAATAAATCGACTCAACGCACTCAGCTGTAGAAAAAGAAGTTTTTACTAGATGAAAATCATTTTGGTTGTTACGATAGATTAGATGGATGTTCAAAACTAATATCGTAACTAAAACGAGGGAGAATTCGATGAACAGTTTCGAGCTTCCAAAAACTCAGGTCTTGTCATGAAGCAGTACATTCTTGAATAGGTCTCATAAATATCTACCATTTGAGATGGTTGTCAAAGCTGTGTAGCGACAATCCTACTCATCAATAAAGATTTTTCAAAAGTAAAAACTTAATTAGTATGTTAAATTTTTTTCCAAAGCTTCACACTGCATGTGCTGGACATTACAGATGATACGATAGTGATTTTTTCAAATTTCTGCTTCTTCGAAAGTCTTGAAATCTAAAAGAGATATCTGACAAAGAATCTAAGTTGAAGTGAAGGCTTTCAGAAGAACATACACTTCACTAAAGTTACCAGAGTCATAACACAGAACAGAGATATGCTCGATTGGCTCATTAGCATTGTCAAATAAAATAGTATAAATTTGATTAAGAATATTTGATGGAAAGAAAAAGCAGTGCAGAACAAAGAAGAAGCCAATATGATGAGTGCTATATATTTCCCTCATTTTAAGTAGTCCCAGAAGAAAAACTAACATGTCACTCTTGAAGACAACATTTAGTCTTAATCAATAAACTGTCATTGTAACACACTATTGCATCCCTTGTTCTGGTTTCAGTGTGACGCTTACAAAACCAACAATAATGCACAGAAAGACTGGGCTTATCATCGATTTCTACTAGCTAAAGAGTATGCAACTAAATCTCCAATACCATCGCCATTGAATATATTATACTATGCCAATCAACTGGTTATTCTATTATTTCAATCTCTATGGAAGAAAAAAGGTAAGAATATTAGAAGTCAATCCTACTCGACTATGCCACAATTAACGAAACATATTACTTATGGCTGTTGAGTTCAGAATATGGGTTAGGGTGCAGATGTGGGCACGAGTAGAGTATGGCTGTGACTGTAGTCATTTTGCCCACCTACACTTACTTGTCACATCCCACACTCACCCTAAAAATAGTGAAGAGATCATGAATAGGATCGAAAACGCTCTAGATTATTGTGAGTTAATTCTGACTTCTTTTGTGTTAAGAGAATATCTACAGTTTTCTCGATGGCAGCAGTGAATTAGATGCTAATGTGACAGATTTGATTGTCTTCAATGTTGATGATCGTGTCGTCAATGCTGGCACTATCGATAAGATCTTAATCAATTTTTGCAAAACTCTCACTCATTCCCGTGAAAAAATAAAAGTATACGTTATTAAATCAATATCGAGTGATGACAAGTGGTTTTTTGTGCAAGAACAGATGGATACGTTTATCACCGGTGTCAAATTATCTTCTGGAATTCAAAAAATTGAAGCTAAACCGTTCCAAGTAAAAGAAAATGACAGCAGTGTCACATATCCAAGATTTTGGAGATGCCACCACATCTCCTGCGGGAGATGCCGGATCTTGCTCGAGAGATGCGAGTGTGGGTGTGGGAGATGCGTCTCTCTAAAGGAGATCTTACATCTCCAGTGGTGAATGACCTCATCTCCCGAGTGTGGGTGCCGCGTCTCCCGCTGGAGATGCGGTGGCATCTCCAAAATCTTGGATATGTGACACTACTCGAAATCGAGCAACTGATTGATGAAGCAAGGCAAAAGTCATCCATTGTCGTGTCATTTATACAAGATCTCACTAGTAAAAACACGGGTTCAATGACTCCTAAGAATTTCATGTCGTATTACGTTTTTTAGATCTAACTAAATTTCAAGAGTGTGACAACATATTATGTGAGAGCAGCATTGCTCAAGATTACTGGCAACTTCTCTTACAGAACATCATGAGACAAGAACGAGACGAGTCCAGCCGTGAAAGAAAAGGTCGATACAAGCACAAAGAACAATCAGGCAAATTACAAAAATAGCAAGAAAAACTCATTGAATAGCTCAAAAAAAAGATTGATCAAAGCCATGATAGATCACCAATGAGTGTTGGTATTTTTATTAATACCATGATCGCGTCCAGAACCGTGTACAATGCATTAGCAAATTCATTCGTGCCCCTGTCTCCTTGATTATCCATTGTCTGGAGAGAATAGTCAAAGAAAGTAAGACTAAATCTCTAAAGAACTAATTGTTGCAGTTGCTGAAACATATTTAAATGAATGTAATCTGGATTGTTATGGTTCGTTCGCCAACGAGTCTGCCATTTAACTGTACAATTTATTATTGTATCCAAATAGTTGACAATTTCACCACGACGAAATAATGAATGAGTAATAGATGTGTGACGCTTATATTTAGATCCTAAATTAAACAGTTTTTGTCTGTCATAACTTTCAACAGATGACTGTTTCGTGTCTAATCTATGAGACAAAAGATTGAATTCAGCATAATACACTTCATTTTCTGATCAAATAATTCTGCTTGATCGTATTCATGTCAATGAGAAAAATGTATTGTACATCTTTCAGACAACTCACAACAACTACACGAGCTGAACGAAACCAAAACTGAAAAACATCGCTGAATTTATGGGTGTGGGTGTGGTCGAGTGTCGGTGAAGAAGAACACAACCCACACCCACACCCTCAGTGATCGCTTGCGGATGTGTATGATTATTGGCATAACAATAATATTGTGTTAAACAATATTGATATACTTTATAAAAGCTTGTTGGAAAGAATCAGTTTTAATTATTTTCTATTTAAAAAGTTAATTTCTTTAACCAAAAGCTATGGGTTTTTTCCTGCATGGTTAATGCAATTTCCTTATGTGTAACATTAAATCTCGTAAACATTACGTTAGATACGTTTTTTCTCATTCATCTCTTCTCGATCGTTTTTCTTTTTTGTTCGTTCTTATATCCCAATATGGCATTTCATGTGTCGACCGTGTGTCTATATATATATTGTATGGGAAGAGGTCATGTCGGATGGGAAAACATGAGTCATAATAATGGAAAATACAGATTTTTTTCTGTTGAAAATATATAATAAGGTACAGAGTAGTATTCTACAGAAACAATTTTTCTCGATTCTCATTCCCATTCCCGAAGAAATATTTTTTGTTTCCATTCCAGTTTTCTCATTCTCGTAAGCAGAGATATAAACCGATACATACTTTTTATCGAAAAGGCGAATGGCGTAAAGTCAGTATTACTTAAAATGCTTATTGAAGAATAGAGACAAATGAATGTAAAAGCATAACGTTAGTCTGTAGAATAATATATAAATAGAATAGACAAAAAAGAACTATGTTGCTTCCTATTGCTTCTTTATAATCCATAGTAAAAGACTCTTGAAGTACTCACTGAATTTAGTTTTATTTAACGTACACTGAGCAATTACATTTGCAAGATATTCTTGAGCTTGACAAGGTCTTTTTCAATCTATTTTCTGTACATATTGATGTATTTGCCAACAAAGAGACAACAATGTAGTAATCTTTCGACCAAACGTTTTATTATCAAAGTGCTGTACGATCAAAGATTTCTAAGAAATGTTTTGTTACTGGAGGTTTTTTCGAGAAAAGACGTATACAACTACATTGTATATCAAAGTTATTTCAACAAGAAAACCTTTCTGTTAATCTTTTCCGACAAAACATTCTAGAAAACGGTTTGAGACATTGTAAACCTATTTAAACTCGATCATTTGTTTTCTTGCCTTGATAATGAGGACAATCACATCGATCAAGTTACATCTTTGACAATAAGACTTTCGGAATTACCTTTCCTATGTCATCTTGTATGTTTGAATCAAATAGTACTAGCATAGATTATCTCTTTATGATGTTACGTATGGTACGATCTGATATGTCTTCTAGTTGAAAATGAAATTGCGGTTAGAAGTATTGCTGGTTATAATTAGAAAAAAACTAGAAAGCTCTTACATTTAGACTTTCCTTAGTGAATATGAAAATGAAACGAAAGTTTCGGGAGCGTCAAAATTTCGTATCGTTCCCATTCTCAAAGTGTTCATGGGAACGGGAAAACTTCGGAAAAAGTCATTTGCACAGGACACTAATAGAGAGAAGAATAAACGAAAAAAACATCGTGTATTTCTCCGAATGTAGAGTAACTTAGATAGAAGACTTTTTGAAAACAAAAGTGAATGTATTGATAATTTAGTAAATTTGATGATGATTGTAATCTTTGTCCTAAGAAATTAGGATTTGAATCAGATTTAAATTGTAAATTTTTTAGTGAGATATCATTTTTCTTTACAGATTGATGGGCAGTCATCATTTGCGTGTTATTCTATTGAATTTAGTAGATCATCTTAGTGAAAATGATCGAGAACGTTTACGTTTTTATATTGGACCCGATGTTCCACGAATTATTAGAGATGATTCATCATTTGCTGGTATTCTTCGTCTTTGGGAATCACTTTTCGATCAAGATAAAATCAATGAAGAAGATTTTACCTATTTAATAAATGCACTTGATGAAATTCATTGTCGTGATGCTGTGAAACTTTTAAGAGGTTATTTTCTGTTTCTGATTAATGTGTTAATATTTTTTGTTCATTTAGAACATATGAGACGAATGCAGGCACATGGCTTAAAAGAATCCTTAGAAAATTTAGCATCGATAATTCCACCAACGGCACCACACATAACAATAGAAGAAATTCTTGGAGATCAAGATAAAGATGATAAATTAGCCTTAAAAAGTCGTAAGTACAAACTTTTGTTATTCAAGATTATTCAAATCGGAAAATTCATTTAGCTCTTATGATGGTCCAAAATAATAATAATACAAATATCAAACCGACGACTATCATTCTGGGAGAGTCAACAAAGTTATCTTTAAACCCAAAAATAAAACAATTATGGAATGTGTCATCATTAATAAAGATATATTTCTTATCATTCGTTTTATTTTCAGTTACAGTATTAGGAGTTATGATATGCTTCTGTATTGAGAGAACATATCGAATTGGTGAATTACAAAATATTGTAAATGCTACCCAACGGAATCTTTCATTCGTGCAAGAAAAGTGTAATCAATACAATGAAATAAATAAATTATTGATCAATCAGTTGAAAGATGCAAAAGAAGGGAAAGGTAAGAGAACAATATCTATTTGACTGAATTCCTTCAATTCACAAATTTCACTAAAGTTTAAAACTATAAAAATTCAATATTCAAGATATGTTATTGTACAGTGCGCAGCTTAAGATGTTAAAAGTCAAACCTTGTCAAATTTTGTTGTAAACTAATGAAATTTATTGTATATCTCATGCAGAGAGAAATTGTTTGTTTTTTTTCCAGAATCGTCCAAAACAACATTCGATGGAATATGGTTAAAACCTGGAAACGGCAAAATTCCGTCAGATGCTGTTGTTGGTGGTCAAGAAGGCAATAAACTAGTTTATATAGCACGTTCAAAATTAGTAAATAATTGTATTATTCCGGGCAAATTGGTAGAAGGAACCGAAAAGGCTATTATTACACATTTCGGTGTTCATTCGTCATCTAATTATGAAGTGCTGATTAGATCAAATCCTGAGCAGGAATTCAAATGGAGTGCAACAAGAAATGCTATTGTACCAGAAGGTGCTCTTGTAGCAGGCAAAGAAGAAGCAGTTCTAGTCTATGTCGGTAGAATTCATTATAACTCAACGATGATTCTTCTTGGGAAACATGTTGTTCCTGATGGCACTTTTTATTACGCTCATGATGGTCATGAGATGAGTACAAAAGATAACTTCGAAGTGTTGTGTATATCGTGAAGCACTGTTTTGCAATAATCTCAATGTAGATACTGTTATTTTTTGCTCTTGTTTATAATGAATTTTCTTCTTCAAAAGTTTTACTATGTTTAACCCTTTGAGTTCTGGTGAAAGACGTATGTCCTACCTTGAGACATTATCCAATCCTCAGGTTTTTAAGAATCTTAGAGAAATATTTTCAATAAATATTAGAAGCCGATAGAGATCCGTACCAATTTGCATGGATGATAGGCTGTATGGATGACGTTGAAAAGTTTATTAAGTCAAATTTCTATAGCCCACAAAAAGGTTTGACCATAAAACCTGAATTTGAAAAACTTAATATTGTAATTCATCGCACTGCGATATATGACCTATTTAGCCGTGAAAATTTCTGAAAACTTCCACAGCTTACTCGATGCTCGGACCTATATTTATAGACATACCGTATTATATATACAAATTAGAAACAAGACTAAAACAAGTTGATGTATAAGATGTAAAACGTTAAATGTATAATGGATTCGGATTTTGAAGATAGTCTATGTGATGAAAATGAAAGTATGGTTAGTGTACGTGAACTTAGAAATAGCAGTTCTGAAGATGGTGATTCATTGATTGAAGAATTTCATCAAAACCTCAATAAACGAATGGAAATGAGGTGTGAACAATTCAGATTTTTTCAACTTCCTTCAATTATTTTGATGGACATACATTGAGAAATGACAAGATAATCAGACTAATCGACTTATTTTACAAGTTTATAAGTCAAGATGTGATCCAGCTAATTATCAATTAAACAAATTTTTATGGGAAGCAAAGTGTATGTGAAGTGTGGATGTGGGTATCTAACCAATGTTGCGCTTACATCCACATTCTCAAATGTTTGAATCAGAATCTGTTTTTGTAAGTAGAATACATCGGTATGGACACCAATGATAGAATTTTAGCTTGATCATCAAGTAGTTTTTTCGAAATATTGAATCCTTAAAATATCCTTTTTTAGCAGTTTAAAATTTCAGGACTTTCAGTTGACACTTCAATATTTTAAAAATGATTGTTACCGGCATTCACAGACCACTTGCTTCTATTATATATCTTAAATTAAGCAAAAACTGAGAATCTTGTTTGAGCACAGTGGGTAGTGGCTCACATGGGCTCATTTACACAAACGAGCTGTGTAACAACAAAGTATTGTATATTTTATTGGTAAAGTACGTCGTTCAGCATGTTAGATACTGTAGTTAATGCGAGAATAAGTGAAACAATTGGAGTTTTTTCTTGAAAAGTGCGTTTATTGTTGAGTCTATGACAGAGACATCGATTATACGAAAGAAGTTAGTGTACACATGTTTTGTTTATATATAAATATGGTTCATATTAATATGAGAATCAACAAGCGGGTGTTGTCATATTTTCTGGTGGATTAATGAGAAATTCGATATTACGATATACTTCTTGGGTAGTTAAGGCACATCGGTGTGTTGAGAGATAGGTTTTCGATGAGCCTTGCGTATGCATTCTGCTATAAACGTCGTAAGGTTCTGGCTGAGCCCAGACTTGCCATGTCTGTCCGACGCGTATTGATAGACCACACGCTGTTTCTTGTGAAGGAGTTGAGACTGTGATTTTCTTTGATGATGGAATTTTACCCTTGAAGTTATCTTGAACTTGAAATACAATCTCTCGTCGTAGTGTGTCGCTATAAATTTTAACACTCAGAGTTTTGCCAATAAAGATATTGGTAGCATCGATGTAGGAAGCACGAAGTGGATATTCAGGTCGACATGAGCAACCGAATGTATAATCAATATAGAGAAGTAGTAAAACACTACAAACAGATCGCATGGTGTACCAGGAGATCAGTAAGCGATTTGACATCATTTTTGGCGAATTATAAAATGGAATAATTTCATCTAAAAGATGAAAAGTGTTGAGCATAGCTTATTGTTAAATCACTTTCTGTTCCGGATTCCCAAGCAATTTTGTCGGTGCGGCTGCCAGTGGGCGTATCAACCGTAAAATGACACTCACCCACAGCTACACTAACACATCCACCCACACCCCACCCTTATCCAAAACGAATTTTCGTCATGAACACATTTTGATGAATCACATTAGGCTATCTTTCTTTCTTCGTATACATGTGCCTGCGATTCTAAAATTGTTGACATAAGTCACAAGTATTCGAATATGACTTAATATCCTTTGCAGACACTTAGTCGAATTGATAAGTGGCCTGCCGCTTTTGGTTCCTTTTAACATATAATTTTGCGATGTCTAACACTGCTCATTTTGATCTACGCATATTGATAGATGGACTGAGTGTTTTTATCTCGCCGTCTCACTAGCCTAATCAGAGTTTAAATATGTTGTCGGCATCCCCATGACTTTCAATGTCACCTGAAACTTTTTGATCAGATTCTTTTGAATAGCTGAATGATCGCGGATCTTGTCCCATTACTATTACCCGTGTTTGTGAAAATAGGACTTTTTCATCCTGACTCTTAGTGGTTCGCATGCCACTTGAAGATTTTAACTTCCACTTTAACAAGTTTCTCTGTTCTTCAAAGGTCTTCTGGGTCATACTTATGAATAGCTTTGTAGCTCTGAGGTTCCCACCGCCATCTTAACAACATAGTGGAATAGTCGAAATTTTAGACTTCAACTTCGAAGTACGAGCACACAGTCCAAAACTTTTCCGTTTAAATTCAGCTCATTAGTGATTAGTACGAAGTCGTTTCGTCTACACTTGGACGGATTGCTGTGAAGCTTGAAGTGATTAGCACTTCATACTTTATATTAATACGTGTTACAAAAGTTGTTCTTCTAGCTAGGCGACATTGGTGAGTGAAGCGAAGCTTTCCGCACTCATTGTTACAGATTTTCCTATGATCGCAAGGTTTTTGTCTTTATTGTCATATATTATGCTCTGCCTAACAGATTTTGAAGCTCATCTGTACAGTTTAGTTCACAGTCGAGAACTTTTTCACTACTATTATTATTCGAACACAAACTTTACGAATCTACCTGTGTCATTTTTTAGTGATCTCATTAAATTTGTAGGTATATTGCACAGATGGTCGTTTCTTATCTGTTTAAAAACTGAAATCAACAAATAGAGTAGGTTAAAAAAAGAGGCAGACAAATCATATAAGATATAGACGGTATCATAAAATTCAGATGAATGAAAAGATCTTATAAGTATGAAATAATTGCGAAATAGTGAATAAACGCGATTGACAATTGATATACATTGATAAGTTGATTGGCTTAAATACAGTCGATCATGGTTATCAATGTTATATCGGTATCGATGATTTCCAACGCTCGGAGTGTCTTGGTACTAATTTTATAACGTTCAAAATAGTTTCTTTTGTTTTTTGAATCTTCCTAAATATCTACTCACCAAAGTAAAGTAATTTATACCAATGTATTCTGAATACCTTGAATTATGTTACTATTGGTTGGAATTTTCGTCACTTCCATCATTTGCTTCTTTTTTTTTCAAATAATTTGTTTCTTACTTTTACAGTATGGCAACGCCTTCTGTTCTGTGTTTGTCTGCTTTACCTCTTTTTTTTTCGTTTTTTTTTAATTATTTTTAAATCTGTGCTCTATTGAGAGAGACTGTACAAAAGAACAGTAAAATATGTACAGTGAGGGTGAATGAAAAATAATCACAAGAAAGAAAAAAAAATACTCATTCCATGAAATTTATGTCAAATGGAGTAGACAGATATATATTCATTTGTGTATAATGTGAGGTATATCTCTATTCGATGATTCAATCTTATCAGGAATAATGAGACAATTTTTTTCATATGAAATATGGATCGGTAGTGTTCAATGTAATACATTTTGGGTGTGGGTATGTTTGACTGTCCGTATCAGCGTAATTTTTCTCTTTATTCACACCCTCGAAATTTGTTTGCGCTTTAATCAGATCATTTGAAATAAGCATTAATTCTCTTATACATACTATATTTGATCGTTGACAATAATCAAGTCTAGTTAACTATCATTATTTCAGTCGATCAGGCTAGTTATCATATATTTTGTTAGAGATTTTTATGCACTATAAAATATTACGAAATCATGAAAGAAACAATAGTGACTACAGAATATCGTGCGTAGAATATTTTTTTCGAAACATGATTTTGAGTGCTTCTCATTCGTACTTCGTAAATTTCGATTAGAAAAATAGAGTTCGGATAAAAACAAAAACCATTTTATGAGTCAGTAAATATAACTGACTAGGTCTATGATAATGTTAAATATTGTCGTCGCAAATAAAATCTCGTCAAAATACAATATTTAGATAGTTTTGGAATATAATACTAACTATTCTGTATATTTTTATGTGATTGTACAGCCTTACAATTTTTCCCTTACTGGTGAAACTACTCTTCAATGCAACTAAATCCTAATTAATTCAGGTGAATTTGTTTTTGTCTACCAGAATCTTTAAAAATGTTTTAGAACTTAAACCAGATTATTTTTCTCAATATTACTATCCGATTATTTCTTTATGTGATTATATACCCATAGTTTTTCAATTAATATTTGATATAGGATAAAAATTAACTCTATCAATCCTTCTACAATGTGAACATCTTCTTATAGTGAGTAATTGAAGCTGGTGTTGAACGATTTTTATTTGGAATAGATCATTGGTTAGATAAAGCCTCCTTATACTTAAACATGAATATGTGCACATACAAGAAGCAAAAATCTCTGTATAGCGAGCAAATTGGATTTCCTATGACACGTCTACAAAAAAGACAACCTATTTAAAACTCTGATCTGTATGATAGTGACATCTAATTTAGAAAAATTACGATTTGATAATGAATTCACTAATGGCGAATGAATCATAGCTTCGTTTTTTTGTTTTTAAGTTTTCCAGATTTTCTTTTTTTTTTAATATGAGAAAAATAAAATCTGCAATGTCGTAATTCAAATTTTTTTATTATTTACTTAATTAATATGCAATATATTAAATTAAAATCTTAATTATTAATTATCGTAAATGAATTTAAAATTTTGTTAAAGCTTCAATCGATACGATGTCTATCAAAATTTTTTATACAACAATTCTTCTTCTTCTAATTTTTATACCAATAATGACTAGTATGAAATTAGAAGAAAAAAATCGACTTCGTCTACAAGTTCTTGATATGTTTAAACATGCATTTAGTTCATATATGGTATTAAATTATTTATTTGAAATTTAATTTTATTATAGTTTATTTATAGAAATATGCTTATCCTGCAGATGAATTAATGCCATTAAGGTAAATAAATATATTTGATAAATGAATAGAAATAATAATATGTTTATTTCTATAGTTGTAAAGGTCGATATCGAGGTTCTGAACCATCACGAGGTGATATTGATGATGCACTTGGCAAGTACGTATATACAAAACATCTTAAAAATGAAAATAAACTTCTTCTTATTTTTTTTTCTTATATAGTTTTTCATTAACACTTGTCGATAGTTTGGATTCTTTAGCAGTAATATAATCAAACATATTTTGTTGTTTTTTTTGTAAATTAAAAATTGTTTTTTTTTTAAGGTTCTTGGAATGTTTGATGAATTTGAACGTGCCATTCGTCAAGTTATTCAACATGTTACATTTGATCGTGATGTTGTTGTTTCTGTATTTGAAACAAATATTCGAATGGTCGGGTAAATCTAATTTAATAATAACAATAAAACATATTTAATTCATTTATCAATCATGAAATTCTTCTAATCAAATATTTACTTCTTTATTTTAGTGGTCTTCTTGGTGGTCATATATGTGCAAAATATATTCATTTACATTATCCATCTCGTTTATCTTGGTATCGTGATGAATTATTAATTTTAGCACATGATTTAGCTTTACGTTTATTACCAGCATTTAATACAACAAGTGGTTTACCATTACCACGTGTTAATCTTCATTATGGTATTGATTTAACATTATCAAAAAGTGAACGTGAACGTTATACATGTACAGCATGTGCTGGTACATTAATATTAGAATGGGCAACATTATCACGTTTAACAGGAAATTATTTATTTGAACAATATGCTGATCGTGCTATGTCATATTTATGGGAAAGACGACATCGACAATCAAATTTAATGGGTACAATACTTAATGTACATTCAGGTGATTGGATTGTACGTGAATCAGGTATTGGTGCTGGTATTGATTCATATTATGAATATTTATTTAAAGCATATGTTTTATTGGGTGAAAAAAATAATGATTATTTATTAAGATTTGAAGAACATTATTCATCTATAATGTCTTATGTTCAACGTGGTGTTGCAATGATTAATGTTCATATGCATCAACCATATCGTTCAGTTAAAAAATATATGGATGCATTATTAGCATTTTGGCCTGGTTTACAAGTTTTAACAGGAGATTTAAAATCAGCTATTGAATTACATGAAATGCTTTATAATGTTGTTAAAAAACATAAATTTTTACCAGAAGCATTTACAACAGATTATAGAATACATTGGAAATCACATCCATTAAGACCAGAATTTGTTGAATCAACTTATTTTCTTTATAAGGTAAAGATATATATACATATATATTATTTAATAATAGAATCTTTTCAGTTAAATGAAAGTAAATGAATAACATTGATTTCATAAAACTTATATCCATTTTTAACAAAAAAATAGGTGAATATTTTTTTTTTTAATAACTTTTCATAGACTTAAGATAGAATGCTATGATTTTATCAGCATTGAAAAGATGAAGTGAAGTTGTATTAAATCATATTATAAGTTGTCCTAAGATGTTTTCTAACTCTTTGATTAATCATCATGGCTATAAGTAATATCTCTTTTACTGAAAATAATACATATATCAAAAAGTTTAACATGAGAAATTTTAACGAAATACGTTAACTCTCGAGATAATCAATTTGGAAACAAAAAAAAAGCATTGAAAATGTTCAATTTTCTTGAATCTACTTTAAACATAATTTTATCTTCTTTTCTAGGCTACTGGTGATCCACATTATCTTGAAGTTGGTAAAACAATCTTAACTAATTTAGAAGAACATGCTCGTGTATCATGTGGTTATGCTGCTTTATCTGATGTTTCTACTGGTCAAAAAGAAGATCGTATGGATTCATTTGTATTAGCTGAAACATTTAAATATCTTTATTTATTATTTGATTCAATACCACATCATTATATTGATATTGATCAATTTATATTTACAACTGAAGGACATCTTCTTCCATTAAATATTTTATTATTTAATATAAATGATACATTAAAAAATGAATTCAATCAAATAACATTAAAATCAGCACAAATTTATGAACAAAAAAATTTTTCTTCATCTGAAAAATCATATGAACGAAAAGCAAAAATAAATCAATGTCCTGCAATGGATGAACAATTTAAATCACATCAATATAAAGAAAAATTACGAGAAAATATTCGTGGTGATCAAGATATGACAGAAACAATAACAATATCATCAAAATATATTGATAAACAATCAAATAAGTTAGTTAAATATTTAAAATCTATTCAACTAATTAAAATATACTCTTTGTTTTTTTTTAACATTAATTTTAAAATAGAGATGTGCAGAGTAAGCATTTTTTTTTCATAATCTATACCAGGCCAGGTCTAAGAAAAATTTTCTCATTCTAACACTGCATGGTACGATACAATATAAATGATTTGCACATTTTTCTTAGTCTATGTTGCATGTTAGAGAGTATGCTAGTATTTGTTACCCTGCACAGCTCAAATATCAAGAAAAATTAAATTGCTCAGAGAACACTTTTGATTGAATAGAAACTATTATCATATAATAGAAATATTTTCTTTAGTATATCTCATCATCGTTTAACTGCTATGGAATTTTCTGCTGATAATCCTCAGCATATATCTGAACTTAAACAAATGGGTATTGAAATTCAATATTTGATTGGTGGTCGTTAGTATTGAATGTTCTTTTGTTCGTTTAATTCTTAATAACTTCTTTTTTTTTTTTTTTATTCAGAAATTCAATTAGCTCATATAGCATCAAATGCTGAATCAATTGATGATGCTGAAAATGGTTTAATATTTATGCAAGATATGATTGAATTAATGAAAAATACAAATACAGTAGAAAATTCTCTAACTTATCATATACCATTAACGGTTATACCATTAATAATTCCATTATTAGAAAATCCAATTAGTTTTACTGTTATTACAGCTCAATTTGGTAAACAATTACATGATACTCAAGGAGTAAAAAAATTTTTTTATTTTTGTTATTTATAAATACTATTTTAGTTTTTTTTTTTTTTGATTGTTTAGATATTTGCTCAATTATATGTTGTTGAACCATATTCTGCTTGTTCAGAAATATTATATTCTCATTATGTTTATTCTCGTATTGGTATTGTTCGTCGTGGTGATTGTATGTTTATTGAAAAAGCTTATTATTTAGAAAAAGCTCAAGCTATTGCTGGTATTGTTATTGATAATAATATATCATTAAATTCTTCAAATGGTGCAATATTTTCTATGTCGGGTGATGGAAAAACTAATGTAAATATACCACTTGTTTTAATGTTAAAAGATGAAGCATATTCATTATTATATTTATTATCAAAACAACCAAATTTATTTGTATATATTGGAGAAGAAGATCGTTTAATGGATAGTTTTTATCAACAAATTGATTATTTAGAAAGTTTAATTGAACCATTTAATCGAACAACAAATAAATGGATATATGGACAAATAGAATTATTTAAAAAAATTAAACAATGTTCGATTGTACCAAAGAATTTAAAACAATTAGAATTAACAATTCAACAATACATTGTATATTTTACTCAAAAATGTAAGAAATATATTCAGTTCTTTTCGATTAGAAGACAGAAAGTAAAATAGTTATTAGGAAAGCTTTTTTTCTCCAAAAATCATTATTTTTACGAATTTATATAGATACTTATCGAAAATTAGTCAAGCTGTTGAAAATATTCATGTTCAAATGAAAATTATACGAAGTAGAGATTTGTACGATCAAAGTTTTTTTTATCCTAATCCCAGGTCGAGAAGTACGGGCGAGTTCCGGCAACTTCTGGTATTTTCCTGCCGGATACGGTGAATTTTCCTGCATCTTTCCTGCGAGATCCGGTGACCGGAATCTTCGACTTGGGATATATAAATTCGGATGTTATCATGTCAAATTAGAATAGAACTTTAATAAATCATTGAGAGAACAATAACATAACCACTGTTTAAAATATTTAGAGAAATTTCTGTTATCAAAGGTATGTATTATCAAGTTATATTGCAAACTGTTAAGGTATCAATAGAAGGCGCTACTTTCATCGTATTGTGTTGATATCTCGATGGTATATAATAGAACTTGATAGTATGTATATCATTACGTAAAGGAAATCTTCTTCTATAAACATATACATATCCTATTCTGAAGTCAAAACCTTATAGTCATCTTTGAATAATATTTAGAAATAAATGCTTTTAACTATTCGACAAAATATTTCAATAAAGAATATTACTTATCTCACTCAATTAAAAATTCAAAATATTTTTGTTTGTTTTTTATTAGATTATTCGAAAGAATAAAAATAGATTGATACCATAATCGATATATATGTCATATCAACTTTTAATCGAATAGTTTTAGTGAATACAAAAATAGGTTCGAATCTATGTATTGGAAGCAAATGATGTTAATGTATGAAATTCAACGCTGAATTAACTGTTGAAAATTAGAGCTTCACTGATGCTTCCTTATAATCTTATAATTTGAATATAAATATATGAAATTTTATTTAGATAATGATCCATCATTTAATCTTGATTTAACTACTTTTAATTTCGATGATCAATTAAATAGTATGGATGTTTATCCTACAACATTTGATGAACCATTTCAAGAAGTCATCTATATTAATAAACAATCATTGAATTTTAATACAACTATTGATATACAAGAAGAACAAATAAATCAATTCGTTGAAATCGATGAAGAAACAAATGAAGATGAATAACATGGAACTTCAACAATATATATATAGAGAAAATAAAAAGAAGAAGAATTTTAAGCAATATATTATTAATCTTTTTCTATTATTGCCGGTGGTATATTGATTTATTTTCTAGTCTTTAAATTATTAAATTGAATGAATTTCAATATGATAAATATTTCACATATACTTATTGTTTGTCTCTTGTTTTTGTTGTTGTTGCTATTGCTTTCAAAACATATGTCGAAAATAAAAACGATTAATAAATATATATATATATGATCAACATATTAAGACAAAATTGAAGAAAAGAAACGTATTCTTACGGTGATTCTTTTTTTTAGCTGAATACCGTAGTCTTCCTTAATTAGATATGTAGTGCTAAAAATCAGCTGGATTATGCTTACTTTAATAGAGATATCAATCGTTTATGAAATAATAATTATGAAAGCAAAAAAAAGAAACGATAATTTCGATTAAAAAAAAAAGAACTGTTAATGCAATCTTTACAGGATAAAAATGTAAAACTTGATATAATTGGTTTTGTTCATTACCAGGAGATTGATTGATGCTATCTATCTTCGAACATATTCTTTGATAAAATGCAAATAAATTAACACAAAAACTTAAGAAAAGAAAACAAGATAAAATATGTTTTTGCTTAAGAATCTATCGGATGAATTTCATAAAAGTAACATCGTCTACAATATTTACAAAAAAAAACGACAAATATTCAGTAAATGATTGAACATTCAATAAAAGAACATCGTTCAAACGTAGTTAACTATAGGAGAATTACAAAACGAAAATAAATTGTACAATACTTTTGAGTGAATATCTGAGAAAATCAATCGTTTGACTGCATTGATAATAGAGTAATATCTTTTCTAACTTTTTTAATATGTTGTAAAAGATAATGATGATGATTTTAATATTCTCTAAAGCTTTCAACTCAATCCGATTTCAAAATACTCATGATAATTACTTTCTGAGTTTTCTTTGAAAGAATAACTTTTATCATTCACAATAAGAGGATTTTGACTTGATGTTCTTGTAAAATCATAACTATTAATATTTTCTATCATGATGTACGAAACTTCAGAAGTTTTCTTTAATTAGAAACACCATATATATTTTGATATGCCAAACAGAGCTCTATTTGAGTCTTTTTTTGACATTTTGTTAGCAAAATATCAATCGACTATGTTTTATACGATATATTTGAAGATGTTGACGTATTATTCATAAGTTATATTTTCTCAATCGAGTAATATTTTTTTTCAAGATCTTTTCTTTGTTATGAATGATATGATAATATAAAATGACTAAACCAAATTTGTGATATTTTTACTATTAATAAAAAAAAAAAACACGCCATATTATGAAAAGAGCAAATTCCATAGATATTAGTATAAGAAGGAAAGAATTTTCACATTTTGATCTCAAAAAGTTGACGTTCATCAAAACATCAGTCCTATGCTCACAATCTGCACGCAAAGCTACACTAGAAAATTTTACAAATACTTCGTCTGAACTATGTCCTTCAAAAATTTCATGATACTATTTTCTATGCAACATGGTCCTCCTCTCTTAAATTTTTCATCTTTTTTACTAATACTAAAAATATCAAAAATCTACGTTAGTCATTTTATATTATGATACCATCTACAACACAAAAAGAAGAGGTAAAAAAATGTAGCTCATGAAAATACGCCAGCATTTTCAAACATATCTTATGAATAGTAGGAAAAAGACGATTTTTGATTCAAAAATTTTTAAATATATCAGATGATAGAAATTTTTAGACTCTATCGCTGATGAAAATATTTTGATCATATGATTAAATTTAAACAAAGAAAATTTCATATGTAATAGTGATAGAAATTATTAATTATTGTAATTAAAAGAGCATTAAGTAAAAGTTCTCTTATTTTGAAAATCCAAAGTTATTTGTTTGAAGGAATTATAGAAAGAAAAGAATGATTAAAACATCAGAAAATAGTTATCAGGAAAAAATTTCATTAGTATTCTGAATAATAATCTTGAAAAAAAGTAACTGGATCGAGGTGACTCCTTGATGTATGGATCTCTCAGATATTCACGCTGAAGTAAATTAACTCAATTTAATTATACATTATGAATAGTCCGGATTTGAGTAACTAAACGTAATGAGAGATAAGATAACTTTTGCTTTATGATAAAAATTCGAAAGAAAATTAAAAAAAAGAAATAACCAGCACACACTTAATTGCTTAGTCTGCGTAAAAAACAAATCGAGTATAAATCTTCAACAACTCCATCCATTTTTGTGGACTTTTATAATTTCATAGAATAATCTCGCTACCACAATCTTTGATCCATTATCTATAAAAAAAATATCGTCTGAAGACTGGTGCATCTCACTGTCAGTTGATACTGGTAAGTTTTCAACAAAAAATCGGACTTAGTTAACTTTCTACAACTAAGTACTTTAGGTTGCCCAACACACAATTGATGTGTGACGGTGCAAGATATGTATAACTGACTATTGACAAAAAGCGTTAAGAACACAAGCTTACTATTATTCATTTCAAAACAGAAAGAGCCGTAGATATATTTTTGAATAATTTTTCATAGGAAGGTAGCTTGCTTAGTTCAAAACTTGTAAGGATCTTGCTTGAGACTTCGCATTCCAGCCAATTGATCGCGGATGACTTGAAAAAGTATTCAGAATAGAATAATTCACTATATTGAATCGAATAGTGATTTTTGTTTCTGAATTTAAAATGATCTGGCATTTAGATTTATTATACTAGATAGCGCTAGATTGTGAGACTTCGAAAATACTAAAAGAACAACGTCAGATCATTTAAAATTCAAGACTAAATATCAACATTCGATTCAGCATGGTAAACTACTCTAGCTTAGATGCTGTTTTCGGGTCATCACAAGCCAATTCATTTGAAGCTTCAACAAAATGCTGACAACGCTTGAACGAAACAAATCCCAAAGTCAGTCTTGCTTCTGTTTTCAAAACTTCCATTAAGAATTGGTTTGATTAATTCAGCACGTATTCATGAGTTTAAATTAGATATGTGACTTCCTCCAAATCGTGAGAGTCTTTTGTTTTTTTTTCCAGCAGGGCTGAAACTTCATTTCGAAGTAGGTCAGAAGAAAGATAATATTCCTTTGAAAAAGTCATGACAACCTCCAATGTTAATTGTTTCTGGCTACTGCTGCGCCTACCAAAAGTTATTCAAAAAAATTTTAGCGTCTCTTCTTTTTTTTTTGAAACAGATGATGATTAATCTGTTTGATTTTAGTGCTTTAGCTAGAAAAATAATATCCACTGAATGCCATTAAAACTCCTTCATTTCAATTTCAACTGTTATTCTTATCCTAGAGAAAAATTGTCAAACATTCGGTAATTATACTAATTCAACATTCAGTATAGAACAACACATTTATACGATTTACTATTTTCATTACAGCTATTGTTTAAAATAAACATATTATTAGGCTTTATAAACTTTTATTTAAAGAAAAAGAAAATTCTCTACTCATTTCTGTATTACTTTGTAATTTTATTCGAAATAGAGCAAAAGTAAAATATTCCCGATCAAGAAAAAAAATACTATAGACGAATACATCATTATGTCGTTTAATGAAAGTGACGACGATATAGATGTTACATCGGATTCAATTTTTTTTATGGCTAATTCTTTGATCCATCGATTTTTCATTCATCTTCCACTCATATTCATTATATTGGGAATCCTTGGTTTTATGGGCAATGCTTTTACCTTTCTTCAACCAACATTTCGTTCCAATACATGTTGTATTTATTCATT